CCTGCAGGGTGGAAGGTAACATATTAGAAAACAAGTAATTTCAATAATTAATGAGGTAAGTTTTCAATTCAAGAATTTAAAAAAGATAACGAAATTCATCCAAATAAAATAAGAATAAGTAAATAATTGACATACTTATAAATTAGAAAGTGACCAAAATCTAATTAATTTAACAAGTACAAAATAGCTTTCAGAGAATTTTGATCCAGGTAAAGAAAGATGAAAATAACAGTACTTGGAATTAAAAAATAGAACATAAATATAGATAAAGTGGGGAATTTTTTAAATCATAAAAATAACTTTCTTCCCATCAATTTAAAAACTCAAGTAACAATGATTTTCTAGAAAAAACTAGTATTACCAAAAATGATCCCAAAACATAGATAAGTCAAATAGAACTATAAAACGTAAACAGCTGAATCATTGGTAAAGATCTATCCATATGCAAACCATTGAATTTGCGTGATTTTCCAGGTTTATCTTTACAGCCCTACAAAGGAACAAACAAGTCTACACAAAGGTCTTCGCATATTTCTTACGCTTCAAGACATGTGAATGAATTCTATTAAAAAAATTAAACATACCACTAGTAATAAATTGTATAGTGATGGTTAAAGTCAGTACAGAGACTAACATTTTTGGTGGAAAATTACCTATTATTTTAAAAGGTACAAAAACATTTCAGCAGTAGAGTATAATCATAAAATTCTAGAATGTATGTAAGATGGTCTTTAGAAAGAACTTAGAAAAGCTGTTGAAGTCATCCTTCAGATAGCAAACTGGAAATGTATAGTTAGCCCAATGGGAAGAGACAGAAAAGAAACAGGACTCTTGTAGCCTTGTTAGGGACAAAGGTGATTGGGAAGACCTGGATTTACAAGTGTGTTCAAACTGAGATGTGGTTTAAATAATACGTGAAGATCGTGTGTTTCATGGCCAACCAGAAGATGAATATATGCTTCAGGAAAACCAAGAAATGACAAAAAGACACAGATCAAGGTCAAAGAGTACGTTTTTTCCAGAAATCAAGTCTTGTTATTTCAGGCAAATATTAACCAAAAAACTCTTTGGTCTCACATTTCAAATTTAGGGCAGGCTGGAGCCAGAGGAGAAATTTTCATGGATCAAATTGATTTCTGTCTTTCCCTTAAAATAGTAATATAAGTGATTTAATTTCAAGACAACACGATGGAAATAATGGAAAATTCTGCATCCTAACCCCAAGTTTACGGGCAAAGGAAATGCAAAGGGCATGGTATGGGTGGACACCTGAAGGAGAGGCACATGGGTTAGTTCCATAAAACTGTAAGGTAAGTTAAGGGGGAACTGGGGAGACACTCAGGACAAAGGAAAGGACTCTGTAACTTAAAACCAGTGCTCTGTCCTTGAACCTTGAACAAAGGTAGAACACATACCCAGCTTTACCCAGCTTAGGACAAATGACACAGACCCACTTTATGGGCATGGAAATCAGAGGAGACGATCTTAAAATTTTTCTCTTCTTAATTCCTTGGCTACCTATTATTTCATGCTATAGAACTCCATCCCTGTGTGAATTTAATAGTCAGGGTATGTTTTTATAACTGTAAAAAAAAAAACATTTACTCAAAATATAAATATTCAAAAAAAAAAAAGACAGTACTTGTACAGAATGTGTGGCTTCTAATCTAAGAAAAATCAAATGGGGAATTGTTTGTTGCCAAAATTGCTGAACTTTCAAAGGTGTAATAAACTTGCTGTTATTGTATTTATTTAACTTACTTTATATATGTACAACATCATTCTAATTATCATCATCATCATCATCACTTTAAAAAACTATAACTAAAGACCTTTCTTTTTGACTAGCTAGTTAGGAAGTTGATTTTCCCTGGTAATCAGGTAAAATAATGAAGTTAAGTTAAATCATTCAACAATTTGCCAAAAATCACTTTCTCACTTCTGACTGTAATATGTCTGAGATTATACTGGGCTGCAATCTAGAAAACTATTCTGAGTTCATCACCAGGCATTACTTAAGATTCCTACAAATGTTATTAGGATCCTCCACTTGAGGCAACCTGTTATCCTTGTTTAAATTAATCACTAGCTACCCTTCTACAGGTTCTCTGAGGCAGCTAAATTCAGGTCCACTAGGTACATGACAAAAAAACACCCGAAACAGAAACTGTGGCAATTCTATAGAAATTAACACTCCATTGACCTCATGGTTCCACATTGCCCTACTCTGTTCAATTCATCGTCTTACCCAAAGGTGAGCAAATAAGGTCAGATAAGTCACTCCTGTGCAATAGTTCTTTCAGTGCAAAAGTGAAAATAGAATTTGAATAAATAATCCCAAAGGGCTATAAAAGTGTCCAACAATATGAAGACTGTCTTCCCAAAGCCAAGCAGAAAGTTTAGGGGCCTGGGAGAGGTCTCTGGGTACTTCAGCTCCTATAGGGAAAGACCTGCAGAAGGACAGGGCTGAATTAAGCCCCGAAGAACCTAGAGAAAGACCCAAAGTCTGCAACTACACTTTCTGCTCTGACAACTATACTCACCCCGCCCATGGCAGTCTTCACTTCAAGCCCCCTTCTGGCCAGAGACATGAACATCTGTGTTTTCATCTCTACACCACTCCAGGTGCAGGAAGTAAAGAGGAAAGAGTAGGAGAGAAGGTCAGATTTGGGGGGAGAAAAATAGAGAAAACAGTAAGAGCCAGGGACTATAAATACATACAGATAAGAAAAGTGCCAATGGGCAATCAATACACCTATGAACTCTTATACAAGCTTAAGTGCCTTTTTAAAAAACCTCATAATTACAATGATAAGGTCAAATAATCTTAACAGGTCAACACAGAAAAAGAACAAGGACAAAAAGGCAGCCCGTAGAATAAGAAAAGGCTTAGCCTGAAACAGCAGTGGAGAATCCTGGGAGGCAGCCCAGCACAGTGGAAAAGGAGCTACAGTGCCAGAAAGTTACATGGTGACCACTGTCACTGCTGCCACTTCTACTCAGTGATGGCAATTACTTAGTGCTCACTACAAGCCCAGCATTCCAAAAACATTATACCTTACAGTAGTCAAGCCTTAAGCCTTACGAAAGAATAATCCTTACAACAGAACAAGCCCCCAGGACAGACACAAAGATGAGACATCACACAGACCTGGGTGATATCTGGACAGTCTCCCACCAGCAAGCTCACTTCCCCATCTCTCAGTTTCCTTCTATAACAAACAGGATAATCAAAACTACCTGGAATGGTGGTTGTGAAAATTAGAGATAATGAACTTAAGTGCCTACTAGCGGCTGTTATTAGTGTAATTAATCATATTAGGATAATCAGGAGAGAAGAACAGAAGAAATAGTCCTACTGGAATAGCAATCGGCACAGAAGCAGCCTTCCAGAGTTGGAAGCTGGGGCCTCAGAGGGAAAGAGAATACAGCCTGCATCTGGCTCTCCACGTTGTATTGGTGGGCAGCTCAGGTAAACTCTCTGAGTTTCAGTTTCCAACCCTGGCAAGTGTGAGTGGTGATCATCTGCCCTCCCTATGTGGCAGGGTGAGTGTAAGGACCCTAAGAGAGGAGGGCATGTGACTTTACTATTACAGGCGATGATTGTATGTAAATGTGCACATCTACTGGATAGAAGGGGACATCCATTGCCCTTATCCCATTTCTCAGGTGGAATGAAAATGCTTAACTACTAGAGCAATGTCATGCAATTACAGACTGCAAAGTCATGAAATTGCATGTGCCTCCTTCGGTCACCACTAATAGAATCAAAGTCGTTTAATCTGACAAGGAAGGTGCCCTACAGGCTCACCTCCCACAACTTCCACCCTCCTGTGAACCATCCGTTCTACCTGCTTTGCAGTCTCCTCCCAATTTATGCCTTTGTTTATTCTTTCCTGAAATGTTGTTTCCTCTCCTCTCCAACTGGTAATCTTTAAAAACACAAATGAAACATTTCCCTGGCATGAAGAAGTGATCCCTGGCTCCCTCTACCTACCACCATCTAATATTTTCTGAAATTCTCCCTCCACTTTGCACTTTTGCTGTATTATGCTCACTGGAGTGTGTGTCACCAACATGCTGCTTGGGGGTGGCAGACCATGTGTCTTCTCAGCTTTTATGGAAACCTGCCTCACCTTAGAGCACAGGACCTTTCACAAGGCAAATGCATAGTCTTTCAAGCGAACATGTTGTTGAACCATCACAATCGTAATGACATTTTAAGACGTAGAAAGGATATTAAATATAAAGTGAAAATAACTGAAGCACAATCATGAAAAGTTAATGTGGAGTTGGGGGTGATGGAGATGAGAAAACACATTCTGAGGCTTCAGCTTTCCCTGTAAGCGCTAAGGGCAGTTTGAAAAGTAGGTTAATTATTTTTAAATGTACATTTCACTTTGCTGGCTCCAGTTACTCAAGAAATGCTTCCTGGAGTGTGACAGTCTCTAGCTACAGGAGGGAGGAGTCTGGGCATTCCTGTCCTGTGAAGGCTGCAGGCACTCAGGTGTCCCTTCCATGCATCTCATCAGCCAGGCACATGGCAGTCTGGCTGGCTGCCAATGAGCTTTGCTGGAGCATCCAGGGTCTTAGCCATTTTAGGCTTGGTGCCCCTCTGAGCCTCACTCTCAGTAGGGGGGGGGGGCACATGAAAGTCCAGCCCACTTGCCTCTTGCCTCATTAAACAGGTATTCACTTTGGCAGAGAGCTGTCACACTTGGCTTTCTGCGGCAGAAGCAAGCAGCAACACTTAGGCTACGTTCGTATTGGCTAATACTTTGGGGCTATTTCAAGGCCAGCGTTCACTTAAGAACTAAAACGCGCACCTTCTCCCGAGCCCCCTTCTAGCAGAAGAAACTGCTCTGTCGTGTTTGCTCTGGTTCACTGGGAGGCGGCCACGCAACTCAGAGGTCAACTCGCTTACCCCTGACAACCCCCTCCAGGGCTTCCCTTTCAGACCGCCCCCCCTCCACCCCCCACCCCGCAGGTCCAGCTCTTACCAATTTTGGCCAAGGAGGCCAGCAGAATCCAGAGGGTGATCTCGAAGGGGATCTGCACGTGGGGGTAGTCCAGGGTGAACACTGGCAACCGACTCTCCTCGAACGGCGTGGTTCCCGGAGCCACCACGCTCGCGGGGCTGGGCGGGCTGGAGCTGCTGCCCAAGGCTCTGGGCGCATCCAGCAGAGTCTCGGCTAGAGCGCCCGAGGGCCCTGCCACCTGCAGGAGCAGCAGCAGCAGCAACAGCGGTTGTGGCGGGGCCCGCAGGCTCCGCCAGGTGCCCGCGGGTTCCATGGGGTCGGTGCGCTGCGCCCGGACGAGTCCCGTAATCGGCCCCCGAAGCGCTCAGAGCATCGCGCCGGGAGAGCGCCACCCGGTCGGCCCCGCACAGGACAGAGCAGGGGGAGCTGCCACCGGCCACCGCCGCCGCAGGACCGGCTCTGCAGCCTGTGGGCTCGGCGAGCGCGCACACTGCCTGGTCCAGCGCGCCCTACGGCGCGAGCGCACCCAGCGGACCCTTGGCTGCCCTCAGCCACCCTCCGCCGCCGACCGCCGGCCCATGCCGGGTCCGCGGTTTTCCGGCGGTAGCTACAGGCCCTGCCCTGGGCGGCGAGGGGGCGGGGGCGGGGCGGGGCGGGAGCAGCTCGCAGGCAGGGGGAGCGGGGAGGGGCACCCGCACCCCGCGGCTCGCCGCGCACCTGCAGAAGCCGGAGGGCGGCGCGGGGTCCCCCGGCGTCCCGCGGGGCCGCGGCTGCGCTCTCCTCTAGCCAACCGCGCACAGAGACCCGCCTCCCCCGGCGCCACCGAGCTCGGGGTGGAATTGCCTCGCCGGGCGCAAGGTGGCCGGAGCTGTCCCCGCCCCGGAGGCCGCGTCGGGCGTCCATCCAGCGAACGGGCCGGCGCGACCCACGCGTCGCGCCCTGTTCTCCGCAGGCTCCGACCAGGGGACACCCCGGGGGTTCTGGGCGCGCAGGGAGGCGCTATAGGATCGGGATCTGCAGGGAAAGCCAGCCCCGTAGGGTCGGGGATCCACTGGCTCAGGGGAGGCGCCGTCAAGCTGGCATGGGCTATGGAGCCCTCTGGGTGGCACAGAAAGTTTGGAAAAGGCTCATCTTGGTTCCGGTTCGGAGAGTTATCACACTGCATTCCCTCTGCGGGCTGCAACTCCCTCTGCAGAACTCAGTGTTCCCAAGCTCCCACGGACCTTTTCTGCTGCACCGAGTGCTGTTGTCACTCATTGTAACACTGTCGTTTCCACTCTTGTCCCTGCCCCCGCTCGCGAAAAAGAAAAACATCTTTCTCTGTTTTCAGGCTTAGAGGTGTACATGTCCGAGAGCAACAGAAATATAATTATTTCGTGGAAAACCAGTGATTTGCCTAGCTCAGATAGCCTTGCTCAGCTAATTACAGGACAAAATGTGGTCAGGAAAGGATCTAAAAGAGCTTTATCTGCCTGCGCCAAGCGTCCTCCTCATTTCTCCCTGGTGCGCAGCCTTCTTACAGAGGCGTTTTATACTTTCCTGGTTGCAAGCTTACTGTCCCAGTATCTTTATCTCCAGAAACCTAAACGAAGCAGAGCAGTTATCATTCAATTAACTGAACGATTTTTCCCGTCGATATGTAAGAATTAAAATCCTCTTTTCCCAATTACTTTGTGCGTGTGTCCAAACGTGACTCCTACTATTATTAAACGACCCCCCACCCCCACCATTCAACATTCAAATCAGTTTTGTTGTTGTTGTTGTTCAAAGTTCTAACATAGGGAATCCATGAAATATCAGAAGGTACAAGGAAAAAAGCCTCCACCTGAATAGAAGCATGTAAGGAACAATCATTTGGGGTTCTTGAACGTAATGCAGGGATAAGTCCAGCATAGAACAGGAGGATTCTAATGACAGAGCACTTAGAGTTTTATAAAGTGTCCTTTTAATTTATTTTATAAAAAATCATTGAGCCATCCAAAAAATCTGCCTTTCTTTCTATGGTCACTGGAAATTTTCATTAAAGTCATGTGTATAACATTCCCTTTTAAGAAAACAGCAGTGTCTCCTTTAAAAATATATATATATATATATATATATATGTACATGGGAAGTTCTGCGCAAGGCATTTTACTTGATTTTTTTTTCCAATCACCATAGCCCCCTCCCTCCAGAAAAATAGACAGTTATTCTTGTACCCATTTAAGAATTATAGATGAATCAATGTTTAAAAACAAACAAACAAACTTAAGTTTACAAATTAATAGGGATCTGGAAGAAATTCAAGTCCAGGTCTGGTCATGCTGGTTTTATTCCACACTCTACCTGCCTGCTTGCCCATAAGTAGTAGGTTATTTCTGAAATGCTTTTAAATATAAGAATGTAGGATATTTTAGGAGTTGTCAAAAAAAAAAAAAACCACAGCAAAATAAAGTTTTATTTACAGTAAGCAAATCAGGCCCAGTTCTACAAGGTTAGTGAAACAATATCAGGACAAGAGCACAATGAGACAGTAATTTCTAAGGCCTTTAAGAATGATGGTGCATCATAAATAAGAATATAAATAAAGTTTCTGGGATCTTACAGCCTATAGAAACTGTAAAAAATTGATTCTAGTATTGCTGGAATTTTATTTCTCTATGCTATTGTAGTTAAAGGTTATCAACTTTTTCCTATATTTGGGGTCGGGGGAAGCTCTTAGTTATTCTTGTATTGGAAAACATAGTATTCAATTTTAAAAACTATTGTTTTTCACCTTTCTCCTAAAACAGGTGAGAGTTAATTACACCTGCATGCTGACGTAGACTGGTCTGAGTCATTTCCTTTATGGCTCACCATTCCACTATTGTATCCATGGAATGACAAAAGGTAACATCATATCTCTACCAAGTTATACTCCTTTAGAGGCTCTCAGTGCCATTGGAAAAACTAGAATCCTACAGTGACTTCCCTGATATGACCCCTGCTTTTCCCTCCTACTACTTTCCTCTCTGCCCCAATGCTCTGAACTCCTGACCAGGCTCCCTCTCAATGCAGGACCTTTGTATGTTCTGTTCTTTTTCCTTTCTGCCCTTCATTTTGAGTAATACACCTAGGGTCTCAGCACAAATGCAACCAGCTACCTGACATTTGCCTAAGGGACTAGAGCCTCCTTTTATTCCTTTTGATATTTCCCCATAGCTTTCCTTCTGAACACTAATCATTTTACTTTTCTCCTGCTAGACAGAAAGTTGTTTGATTCATTCTTTTGTCCTTACTTCCTAGAATGGGTGATTTGGCTGGGAATTGAGAGCTTCTCTGCATTAGGGATCCAGGCTGTAGGGCTTTTTGCATTTGTTGCAGACTCAGCATCAACAGTTCTGCATGAGATGTTTTCTTTCAATAATCTCTGGTTCATATTTTGGGATTTCACATTTCTTTTGTACCCTCATACCGAGAATATATATAAAATCCAATCATGACAAGATTTTAAAATTTTTGTACATAATTTCATTTTCATATATAAAAATGCTATGATTTGAGATTGACCTTATGTAGCATATAAATGTTTACTAGGAACTGTCCTGAATCAAACAGTTATCAAGCAGGACTTGAGCTAAAAATCACTGAGGATTTAGAATGTAGTTTAAAGAGAAATACACCTTAAAAAAATAAAAATTTGAGTTCTACAGAGGAAATTAGGATTGTCTCCTAGCACACAGTTGGTCTGAAATCCCCCTTCCTGCCGTGGAAGGCTCTGGAGGACTTGAGATTTAACTTTCTGTCTCTTGTCACACAGAGCTTGGACCTTAGTGAAGTTGTTGAAAGTTGTATTTCCAGGAACTTTTGTGTGAAGGAACAGGCAGAGATCTCCACAAGCTAGCACAGAGAAGTTTTCATGTGTTATCCATCTATATTTCTATTCATTTTAATTGTTTCATTTTATTAATGTAACAATGGTTTATAACAGTATATGATTTAGTGACTATGGTGTAGTGACCATGGTGGAGGATTATGGTTGCTTTGGTGGTGGCTGTGGTGTGAAAACATACATCTCTAAAGTTATGTGAACCTGTATTTCTATTTCTCAAGCGAAGAATGGAGATTGACTGAGGGACTACGCATTCGTGCAGAGTCTCCTCTGCACCACAATGGGGCGCCAGCACTCTCTCAAGGTCAGCAGAAACCCTATTATCTAGTTCACTAGAAGCACTTGATGACCAGTGGGGACCCGCAAATGGCTCTATCATTGGGTATCAGTAAAATATCCACAAGAGAACCTAGTACTAGTAAGATAATAATTAAAACTGATATTACATGCCTTTTGGGGTTTTTTTTACATATTTTTACACTGTTAGTATTTTATGTTCACCTTTGAATTCTGCTTTTACAACCCCAAATCCTTAGTTTTGTGATAATTCAATTAAAAATAATTGCCTACAAAAAGTCAGTACTCATAGTGTTGTTGACTTTATGATTTTATTTTTACATATTTGAAAGTTCTTCAAGTTCAACCTGGATTCATTTAAGAAAAAAAGACAGATCTCAGTAAAAATCTGGAGAGATCTTCTTAAAGGGCAGCCCTATTAAGAATTAGGCAGTGGCATGAATGTTTTATTGACAAGCATAAGATGAAATGTTTTTGTCTCTTTCTTTTTTGCAGAGGCATTTGCACATTTCAACAGAGAAATGTATTTGCTTTCTGAAAAGTTGCATTCAGCAAGATCCGAGTTATAAATGAATTGCATTTTAACACTGAATGCTTCTAATACATTAAAATAAGATTTATCTTCAGATATCTAACCACATAGTTTTTCAAAGCATCAGTTTTCCCCCATAAAATAAAGGAATTACAATAAGAAATGTATATATTTATTTATAAAAGACTTTACAAATCTGGGATTTGTCACAAATAGATCCACGTAAGAGGGACATATACTTCTACCCTACTAACCTTCCTCCAGGCACTGTGATAACATGTGTTGGAGGAAGACTACCTATCCTGTAAACTGTCTCATTATGGCTGAGTTCTGATGTTCAGTGAGATCAGAAAGCAAAACAACCCATAGGAACTGTTGACTAGCATGCTAGTATTTCACATAAGGCACACTCATTCATCAATTCAACCAATACTTACAGATTCTCAAAGTATCTTTGCACCTTTGGGAACCCAATAAATGACAGTGTTTCTAAGGATTGTAAGGAAGTAAAACTAATTTTTCCTCTACCCTTATAGGTTTTTAGCAGAAATCCCTATAATAAAACTTAGGTTAACAAGAGAAAAAAATAGGAATTTATTAACATGTATATCTCATGTGTGCATGGAAGGTGCCCAGGGAAAATGAGTAACTCTCCAAGGTGGTTCAGATTTCAGTATTAAATACCATTTTTATGATGTGAAAATATATAGGGAACCCTAATGACTCCATTGAAAAACTAATTAAAATAAACACTTCAGCAAAAATAGTAGGTTATACA